CGCACAAGGCATGCATGCGTGTGTGTGCTGGGGGGGGGGTGTCATCTACGTGCTGAGACACACAGTTCATGTCAAGAGTGTTTCTCATCCAGTCTCCACCTTATATATTGAGTCAGGGGCTCTCATTGAGCTGGAGTTCAGTGATAGGCTAGGCTGGCTGGAAAGCTTGTTCCAGGGCTCATCTTGTCTCTGATTTCCAGTGCTGGGATTACAGGGACACAGTGCTACACCTGGCTCCTTGTGTGGGTGCTGGGAATCCAAACACAGGTCCTCACGATTGCATGGCAAACTCCTTACCCAGTGAGCCATCTTCCCAGCCCTCAGGAGGTTTATAGTATGGAACACTGCTGGCTTCAGATAAGGTTGTGCTGGCCCCATAGGACATGATCTCAGGGAAAGGAGTTCCTGGTGCTCATGAAAAGCTTTCTTTTAAATTTGAGTCTTCCTTGGACTTTTAAGTGTTATTCCCTTAACCGGCTTGAGATTTGCAACAGCTCTTCAGTCTTTCTGTGGACTGACACTGCTGCTCTGTGGACTCCTAAGTGGTATTAGCATCCACTTGCACACACATTCCAGCAGCGCCTGTGATATTCAGTGTGGGGACGGTCCGCTGTCAGTGAACCTTCCCCCATTTTTTAAGAAAGTAGCTCAGACTACAGGAATTTGGGGCAAAATCCTCCACCAGTCAGGTCGGTCTGTTTGTTGGTAGAATGAGGAAGAACGAACAGACAAGCAGACTACCAGGGAGGAGCAGCAGAGCCAGAGAGACGCATGTCCAGGCTGGCTAGAAGCTGGAGCACAGATTGGACATGCTGGATCCATTTCAATATTAACAGCTGTAGAATTTGGAGACCAAGATTTGCCTAAAGTACTTGCTGGTCCCAGGGATTTATTCCAATCTACTCGGGCTTTATATTCTTGATAACAGACCTGGCCACTGTTTTTCACTGACATAGATAAAGATAATCAAGTGAATTGCTTGGCAACATAGGTCGGATTTGCTAGAAACTGAAACCTCAAGTACTTTCCAAAAGGAAAATAAACTCAAGGAAAATGCCAGCTAATCATCCTTTTGCTTTGGACAAAAGGGAGTACTCATTCATAAGAAGCTACATTGAGGGCTCTGAGGTACTTACCGCTGACAATCGGGCTGACCGTCGTGTGGGCTACAAAGGAATGGGGGAAAGATTGGCGATTATAAACATCTGGGTTGGTTTTAAAAATCCATTTGTGATACATTCTACTTTGTTGAATGAATAAGAGGTATGCCACCCATCCTCCTCTACAGGTCAGCAGAATGAAACACACCAAGTCCTCTGGGTGAGCCAGAGAAAGCGCTGCTCCAAGACACAGCTCACCTTCCATCAAGCGGCTTCTCCCAGTTAACAGTGCTGGCAGGAAGGGGAAAGAGAGGAATCCAGCTCCACTCTACCCACAACCGTTTCTTTTGTGATAAACTGACATCGGAACACTTAAGAAATGGTCTCTTTAAAACAGAACCCAAATCCTTAAGTAATTACACAGAAACCAATAGGGAACTTTCCCATCTCTGCTACCCCGAGAAAAACAATGACTGCAAATCTTATACAGGTAAGAAAGATATTTTTTTCTTTCAAACCTAGAACAAAATCAACACAATTATCTACTAAAAACAGGTTTCACTAATCGCTTGATTCCAAAAGTTTAGAAAATTTGGTTAAATATTTTTTTTTCAGAAAATCTTTTGAGGATTGTACCAGTTAATAGCCAATGACACCCAAAGAAAATACAAAATTACACAAGCATCCCGAGTACAAAGTTGACACTCTTTGCTACCCGGGAGAACCTACTTCTCCTGGGGAAGGGGATTTAACTTTTTAAAACTAAAATTGGCTTCCTCTGCAGGCTTTACTCCATATTTTCTGTCCATTTGACTCACCTTTTCTCTCTCCAGTAGAACAGTCGATGCTACCTAACACATCCAAAATATTTGCTGAATAAATGAACTCAAGCTTTCCCGACTCACACTGATTTGTAAGACTGACTCATTATGACAGCTCACATGCTTCCAAACAATTTTTCTTAAGTGGGTCAGCAAAAATGGTCAGTGGGAACTCGTGTCATGATTGAGAAGAATTGTAGAAATTCCCGAGTCCATGCTGAGGTCAGTGGATCAGGTCATAGTGGAAGAAATAGTTCTTTACATCACCACATCTAAAAACCTTCCTTGCTGAAAGCCACAGGTGGAGCTCAACTCACCTTTCTTTAAACCACAGAAGGAAACCAAGGGCCAGAGCCTCCATGAATAGTTTTAACCTTGGGGTCCCAAGGAACAATCAGAGTTGGGATATACACAGACTAGGAAGCCGGGTTAGATGCTGACAGGGGCACAGTCACTACCCAGAACAGGACATAACTGTCAGCGCACAGCCTGTGGTCAGTAGAGAAGGATGCAGGAGAAATTCTCCGCCGAAAACACCAGGATGCCTGCTAGGATTCTCTTGGGGTGCATTTGTGACATCACACCCACAAGGCCCTGGGAGTCAGGATCAAATCCTGCATGCCTTTCTCAGGATGGTGAGTCACATTGAGTATTGTTAAAGAAAGGACAACATGCCCACTTAAGTTGTGCAAAACATGTGTGTCCCATGCTTCAACATGGTTTCCAAATGTCGGAGAACAGAAGGGCACCTCCACCCCCCATTACTGTAGAGTGAAGCTCTGAAGTTTTGTGTGGTCTCAACCATATTCCCACCATCTAACAAGTACAACAGGGAAAACAACCTTCATCACAGGGAAGAGGGGCAGCCTCCTTGCTGAAGGGCAGCAAATGAACCTTACCCAAATTCCATCCTGCTTGGCTGTCAACCTGCAAGCATTCTGGTGGCTTCACTTCACCAGTGACTTCGTTCATCTCCCATCTGTATCTCCTAGCACAAAGCACCATCTTTTTTTTCTATTTCAGTATTGTCGGTGCCTAGCAAGGGCCCTGAGTTAAGTATTGAGGCAAATGGAAGAAGCAAGCTCCAGAAAACCATATATAACTCACTTATGGGAAGGAGCCAAATGCATTAGCCATCATACATAACTGTCCATTTCCCAATCAGTTACTGTTGGCAAAATCTTGTTAAAGAGAGGTAAAAAATCATGTGAAGGATTTCCCAACTGCAAAACCCTGCCTCTCCATGCCAACATCTGAATACCCAGAATAGGTTTTCTGGAGGGACGGTCTCATCAGAGCTTGCTCTACAGGGCGGGCCTCCAGCTGACTGATCCACAGACTTAATTTAAGTTCAGAATAAGTGTTCCAAACGAAAGGCTTGGGAAATTGCTACTACAACAGTCTCTATCGGCTATCTAACCCAGCCAGACTCTAAAAAGTAGATGTCGTGCCATAAAATTATTTTATGATCTCCTACCTAAAATTTACCAGCTCTTCTGTGTCATAAAAAAAGACTTTTTAAAGCTTCCTTTCCAGTAATCACCATAAGGGATATTTTTTCAGTGCAGTGAACGCTGAGGCTAACCTTTCACTCAGTAAGCAGTACCGCTTACGCATGCAAGTGTGGATGCCTTCCTGGAAAGTTCCATCAGCTTCCACAGCCTTAACATCTATAAATGATTGGTCTAAATTTATTGGATACGAAACAGACTAGGCTGCTATTTATTCCTCTTTGAAATGTTGAAAGCATTTGAAATATTCATTTCGGGCTCAGCCTTGGTAGAACTGGGTAGGGGAGCTGTTAAGGAATTTCTTTTAATTTGTTGATTAAGTGAGAAATCAGAGGAAAAGTGGTCAAAAGAATGGCTCTCAGACAGGGATGGGGAGTTTTAGGATACCAGATCACTGTGGTTTCTAGATCCTGGAGACATTAGAGTTATTCAGTAAGCATTAGCGATTAACAGAGAGCCCCCGTCTGAAAGACTTGGGGTCTATTTCAACATCCTGGCTGCAAATGCAGCACATACATGTACTCTCACACAGTTCAAAGGGAGGGGCGGGAAAGAGAGTCAAGTAGAATTACTAGACTTTGCTGATTATTGCTTCAAACCTTGCGTCTGGGTCTCAGCATGTTCTTTTACAGCAAAACTTAAAAGTCAGGTTGCTTTTGATTCTCAAAAACAAACAGACCAACGAAAAGTTCATTATAAGCAGCCTTCTTTTCAAAACTGGGAGACAGAGAAAGACAGAACGACAGACTTGGCTGGGCAATGGGTAAGAAGAAGAAACAGGCATTGGCTCACTCAACTGAAGCCCTGTACAAAAGGTGGGTGGCGAATAACGATTGGGGATTGGGGCCTCAGGTATTTTCCCTGACTCTGCTAATTCCAAGTTGTGACATTTGGAGAAAATCATATTGTTTCTCTAAAAACCCTTCTCCTTGAGATGAAACAGGGATCACTGCATCTGCCTGTCTGCAATGTGTTATTGCTTTACTTTACTCTCTCTTCCACACTAAAATAGAGGGCTTAGAAAGGCAAAGTTTTGTTTGTTTTTCACTGTGGGACCCTGGAACAGTGCTGATAAGGAATGTTTTCGGGGCACAGGTGTAGCATGGTACTATAACAGGTTTCTCCAAGGTGCTGGGTCCCATCTCCACTACAGCAAGGAGAGGGGGCAGGGAATGCTTCTTAGGGTTATTGAACAGCTCTGATAAAGACTAGAAACGAAAAGGCTTTGCAAACGGCAGAGAGTAATGATGATGGTACACTGTTTAGGTCATTTATTGTCCAGTCTCCTGAAGTGCGGGGCTCTGTACAATGCCTTCCAAATACCACAGCCATAGTGGGAAATCTTCAAAAGGAAAGTCCCCTTTGTAACCAGTATCTGTTCATCCTGGATGACATACAAAATGGCATAACCGGAAAATTCAGTTTGAACTGAATTTCAATTCACTGGGGGCGGGGAGAGATCAATCAGCACACTTCTAGCAGCTTTTAACATTAGTCAACACTCAAGCTAACCGATGAACTTTTACTTTCAAATGACTGTGCTGATGTCCTGAAGACACCTTATGAGTTTTAATCTGGCCTTGGCTTGCTTGATAGGTTTTTTTTTTCATTGTCTATAAAATACTTTTGTTAGGAATAATATAAAAAATATGCAGTATAACATGGAAAATAACCAACCAGAAAAGCAAAAAGCATGAAAATCCTTGGGCTAACATACTTAAGTGATATACACAAAACTCATGCTTATCTTTTATGTCTATCCCAGCCAGCAGGATCTGCTTCCGGCACAGAGGGCCTGGGAAGGCTTTCTGTAGTCAAGTGCCTCCACTGAGCAATGGTTTTAAGGCTTTCTGAGTGATCAAGTTAAATGTCAACCCCCAGAGAGAAACCCAAATGCTTGTGGTACCTAAATCCAAAAACACTGAGGTTACACTTCACCAACTCTTCTAAAAACTATCTTTTGCCATTCTCTATGTGTTTATCATTGTTTTGGTCTAGCATGTGTGCGGTGACTTGACTGTGGATTTCTGTTTCATGTTATCTCCAGCAGCTCATTGTTGGTACATGGATGATAAGGGCAGGCGGTTTTGTTTTTACATTACATCTTTACAGCTTCTGGTAAAGATTTCCTCCTTGGCAGAATGAATTTCCATGTACAAAGCTTATGTGGGTGTTTGGATATCACGACAAATTCCTCTGAATTATTAACAATAATATGAATCACACCATCAAAGGGTCTGTAACTGGATATTGTTTGTGCTCTCCTGTGACCCCTTTCAGTTTATAAGTTTAAGTGTAAGAGCTGAAGTTTTCCACACACTGGAAAGCTCTATCCAAAAGCTGTCATCACAGATACATCTCACTTCTAGCTTTTGAAGACATCTCCTTCAGTGTCTCCATCGAGACATCATAAGCATGTCTTCCAAGTTCTTAACCCCTCTCCAGGCTTCTTTATTTTAACACAGAGCCTCTTTGAGTCATGGGCTAATTAGTTATCGGAATAACTTAAGAATTTTCCTAATTAAAAAAGAAACTTCAATATTTTGCTGTATTATGAATCTTTCCATAGTTTTGTCTTTAGAGATGAATCCTCTTAGGTAAATACTCAGAATCAAAAAAGGAATTCATAATTCACTCATTGGAGCAGAAAATTTATGAAATCAACAACCTTTCATTTTCTTGTTATGAAAAGCCGGCTCTGTTTTCCTTGATGAATTTACCTATTATCTTCTCCCTGCCCAGAAGGAATTCTCAATATCCACTTTGACAGACAGTGGGACCAACAGGCAGAAACACAAACAACTTCGGAAAATACCTCATCAACGTGCTCAATGAAATATGCCCAAGCCAAGCAGAGCTACATGTAATCTTTGGCTTTTAGCTTCAGCAGGCTTGTTTGCAATAGCTTTCCTTCACATGTATACAACATGAAACATTTCAATAGTAAGACCGATGTAGGCAAGTCAAAAGTATGCTTACCTCCTGTTTGGTTAGTTTGGTTCCATCTTTGCCCTCTGTATTCTCTGGAGACTAGAAAGAAAACATTTCAGAGAACTGCATTTAAGTTTGAAAGCAAATAAAAATGACTAAAACAGACATGGGTAATATGACTCCTAGGATCAGATACAACCATATATTATTTTCAGGGAAAATGCATTTGTTAAGTATGTATTTCAAGAGAGTGTAGTGTGTGTGTGTGTGTGTGTGTGTGTGTGTGTGTGTGTGTGTGTGTGTGTTTTACTCACCCTTGTGTGCATATATGGAAGCCAGAGGTCAACAGTGGATGTCTTCCTCTTTTGCTTTTCACATTATTTTTTGAGACAGGGTCCCTCATTGAACTCAGGGCAAGTTGGTTTGGCCAGGTTGACTTCCCAGTAAGCTTCTGGAATGGCCTACATCTGTCCCCAGAGCTGGGAATACAGATATATGCCACAGTGCCTGGCTTTATGTAGGTGCTGGTGACCCAAACTCAGGTCTTCATATTTTCATAGCAAACACTATATCCACTTACATACCCCCCCCCACACACACATATAACTGGGGCGGTGACAGAGGGCAATATAAAGGGGAAGAGGGAGGAAGATAAGTAACACCAAGGATGTTTGTAAAAGCTACAGGGAAACATTATTTTATGTGTACTTTAAAATGCAGATATTATAAAAGCGTATGTATATACACATTCACACACTAAGGTGACATCACTTGAGGCAATAAGACTTGAATCAAGAGCCACAGATATTGAGCAAAAGTCCCAGTTCCAGGCATGAGAAACCTCCCTTTGAGTTATTAGGAGAGTTCAAGAGACTCCCAAAACAATATAGGCTATTGCCAATGCTCTTGATTACATTCCAGAACTTGGAGGCAAGATCTTATTGCTGAAGATACAATATAATTCTGGCACGAGACTGGAAGGAATCCTTCTGGAAGTGACCTGGAAGCTTCCTCCCCGAGAGATGGCTCTTATAGTGTCTGATGGTGCTAAGTAGGCTGTTAAGGGAGAAAAACAATTATAGTCCTACCCAGCTATGACACATAGGAGCCACAACATTGCAATGACCTGCATGGCAAGATATCCATAAAGGTGCAACAGTGTCATAATACATATCTTGGTAGCAACCAATAGTTGCTTAATTGGACTTAAGCCCTAATCAACAGGAGGGAAGCCATGCCTGGTACTGGAAACCTAGCCAACTTCCCATGGTTAAAAAGGTTATGGACTGTATAGGAGAACCTACTGCCACATTCATAAATCAGTATTCTAACTGTATTGTAGAGTACAAATACAGTTATCCTTTCACCTAGATAAGTGTTGTTCTGAGCCCTCACCAAAGCAGTGCTTTTTGCAGCAGATGAAGACCATTATAAAAAGCCACAACTGGTCAAAATGCAGAGAATGACTGAATGTAGGGTGCCCAACTCCACTGATATATTACAACCTCTATGACGAAACCTCAGGGAAGACTGTGGAAGAGAAGGCAAAAAGACGGTAAGAGTCTGAGATCGAGGATGTCTGTTGTTCATCAGTGTATCTACATATGATAAGGAAGCTGCACCTTTGAAATCTCAACAACACAGTTGCCTAAAGAAGGCCAGCACAATGACAACACCAGTCAACATGTCAACATGGAAGAGAGCACACAAAGCCCTGCACACCCCTAGATGAAAAGCTACAGGCAATTAATGACTGCCAAGAGTTAGAGATGCATTCTTCCCCAGGTTTAAACTCCTTGGTAGGTTATCAAATACCTAAACACATTAAATATATGAGCAAAACTAACTAGACTTAGCAGGGGATCTGAAGCCCTTTTCTGACCTACATGGTCATCTACATTCATGTTCACAAAACCACAATGAGACATGCACACAGCGAGACATAAAAAATAATATAAATCTTAAAAAAACAAAAGACTCATTAGGAAATTGAACAAGTTAATATATTTTACCACTCTGTAAAATTCGAAGGCTAAAAACTATGGCACAAATAGGTGGTCCAAATGACTGGAGTACTATTAGAAAGTACCCAAATTGGCTCAGTGAGATGGCTCAGGGGGTGAAAAACACTTGTCATTCAATCTAACAACCGGTTAGATTCTCTGAACCTACAGTAAAGAGAACCAAGCCTTGAAAGTCACACTCTCATCTTCATGCAAGCACCATGGCACACATCTGTGCACATGTACACATGCATGCACACACATACATACTTATGTACACACACAAATAATAAACAAAAATTAAAGAAAAAATCCCACAAAAACAGCAAGCTGACATTTATCACCAGATTTGGCATAGCACAATGAAACAGCTATATTCATGCCTCATCTGAAAAAATGAGAACAAAATTAACAGGACCATAAAACTGCCACTTAGTGGGGCTGGTAACACTGTAACTTAATATCGGCTTCTCAAAGAACAAAAAGCAAAAAGCTGAGAGGTAACAAGGGGATGATCTAGTAATTCTTTGCAAAAATATATTGTTGTATTTCTACTATACATAATATGGCATAGTTGGAAATGACATGCATGTTCAACAAATAACTGAGAGCTATTTAAACTATGTAACTGGGGCTAGGGAGATAACTTGGTGGTTAAGAGCACTTGCTGCTATTCCAAAGGGCCTATGTTCACTTTCCAGCACCCATGTTGGATGGCTCGGCCATCATTCCTGTTCCAGGGGATCCAATGTCCTCTTCTGGCCTCCACAGGTACACACACACATGTGTATAAATACTCATTTAAGACATACAAATAAGTAATAAAATCTCAAAATGAACTATAACTATTAATACAGTGAGATTAAAATAGGCTTAAAATAAAAGAGTAAATATCTACATAAATTAATGATCAAATTTTAAAAAATTAGGTAATAAGCTGGGCATTGGTGGTGCACGCCTTTCATCCCAGCACTCCGGAGGCAGAGGCAGGCAGATCTCTGTGAGTTCGAGGCCAGCTTGGTGTACAGAGCGAGTTGCAGGACAGGCTCCAAAACAATACAGAGAAACCCTGTCTCAAAAAAACAAAAACAAACAAAAAATCGGTAATAAAATAGTGAGTAAAATGTAGGAACTGCATAGTAGTCTTTGGGGAAAACAAAACATTTCCAGCCAAAGGTCACAGGAATCCTCTCTGTCCCCTGATCTATGTTGCATATGGCTCACCAGTTCCCATTTCCTAGCAGCTCCATTGCCTACAAGGTTCTAGCCCCTTTCCCACAGTTGATTGATTGCTCTCCAAACAGAACCTCTCCTGTCCTGAAGGGAAACTCCTGTTCTCTTTCCTGTTCTCCATTCTTGTACAGGATCGCCAGCTTCACAGCCCTGGTGCTGCGTCCCTTAGCTGAGTTCTAGACAGCAACATCTTGGCTAGTCTGAGCACACAGCAGTTTCCACAGGGGCCCCTGGTCCTCCCGACTCTCTAGGTCACAAACTCAAAGCTTTTGTCCACCCAGACTTTCAGTAGCTATCACCCAGGGATGCCTCTACTTGTAACTGACAAATAGCTAAGAAAGCATTATGCTGGTATTCTATAACTGTGTATTGTATATAAACATATCCTGCTTAGTTTTTCAACTTGTCGCAGGTAAGATAAAAGAGGAAACCTCAGCTGAGAAAATGCTCCTGTCAGATTATCCTATGTGTAAGCCTGTGGAATATTTTCTCCATTAATGTGATTAATGATTGATGTGGGAGGGCCCACCCCACCCCACCCCATTTTGGGGAGTGCTAACCAGGGGAACTGGTCCTGAGTTTATAAGAAAGCAGGCTGAGCAAGCCCTGTGGAGGAAGCCAGCAGTAGTGTTCTTTTCATGGCCTCTACCTTCAGTTCCTGCCTTCAGGTTCCCACCCTGGCCCAGACTTCTCTCAGTAAGGAGGTGATCTGAGAACTGTAAGGTAAAATAAACCTTTTCCTCCCCAACTTACTTTTGGTCAGGGTGCTAATCACAGCAGCTGAAACCCTGATCGAGTTCCTGCCTTCAGGTTCCCACCCTGGCCCAGACTTCTCTCAGTAAGGAGGTGATCTGAGAACTGTAAGGTAAAATAAACCTTTTCCTCCCCAACTTACTTTTGGTCAGGGTGCTAATCACAGCAGCTGAAACCCTGATCGAATATATATATATATATACATATATATATATATATATATATATCTGTGTGTGTGTTATAAAATCAATATTAATAATATTACTTTCAGTGTTATATGCCATGGATTAGTAGCAGGCAATATTATCAAGACATCAATCTTTAAACACAGATCTAATGATGTTTATATTAGATGCAACAAAAGACACTGCATTCAAAAGGCATGAAGAATGAAAATGCTAATGCTTTCTGATGAGTAAACTGTATGATTATAGATGAGACAGAGTACACTCTAGGCAAGGCTGGTTGCTTTGGTAGTCTCTCCACAGGGGTTTGTATTATCAAGCTCAGACACAGTTCCAGTTAGGAGCACCTGATGTTTTCTCTGGGGTCAACATGCTTCCGTGGCCTGAATACAAGCTGTAGGCTCAAAACTGTCTTGAATCCTGGCTCCTAGAACTGTGCCCAGAAACTTGGTCACAGGCTCAATCTCTACATCAATGAGTGACTTAATGACATCTAACTTAAAGGGTCACACTTATAATGCCTTAGCCAGAGGTTAGGGAAAGCAGCTCAGGAACTCGACTACTATGCAGATGTTATACAATAAAAGGTGCAGGTGATCATGCAACGGAGCCTTAAAGTCACACACGTTTCCTTTATGCAGATTTTCTGCAACTGGCCAGCATCTTGTTGCTCACAATGACCAGGAACACTGTTTTGGGAAGACCATCATTACCAGATGTCTTATTGCATGCCTCAGCACTGTAACTTGGCTGCCAGGCTGGATCAAGAAGGAGGAAGGTATACTGTGAAGGAATCGATGCAGATTACACCAGGGGATTACGTGAAATAAGGACAAAGAAAGGAGGAGACGGAGGACTAGAGGCATAGTCAGGTGGCTTTTAGTGGGCTGAGGTGCAGGGGTTGGAGCATTTCAGTGGCTACAAG